TAACCAAAAACGTATTAAAAAAATGGTATTAGCAGCTTCTTCACGTGGTTCTCATTATTAGGAGGTTAGTGTTGGGATTAGTCGGCCTGGTGTCAGGATAGTGTGACTGGGTGAGACATGATTTGGGTTGGGAGGGTTGTTTTTTTTAAAACTATCTGGACCCAAAAAGCTTCAAAACAATTCTTTCTCCGATTTGAAGAAGTCACGATAACTATATCACTTGACATACAATTATCTTGAGGTACAAGAAAACAAATATTCTGCTCAGAAAAAAAATAAACAGACCCCCGTTCCTCTTTGTAGCATTTACTTTATACATATATTATTTGAGTACGCGTTTTTAATAAATAATGCCGTTAAATATGGCTCTCAGAGAGGTCCAACAACGGTCATTTTTCTGTGGCCTGGGCTCATGCAATAGGTTAGTTCTATAATTCTACTAAACTTACTATGATACTTATGATTTCCTAGTCATGACTGTGGACTGAAAATGCTACGTTATGAAGCAGCCGTTCTTTACAACTGTCAGGATTCAACGACATCTATCAAATGCTAGCACATACATGCGGACTTTATCTATGTGCTTTCTTTCGTTAGAATGTGTCTAATTTCCGATCTTGTTTACATGTATATAATACAGTACAAAAGCCGAGTTATACAGTGTATATATATATATATATATATATATATATATATATATATATATATATATATATATATATATATATATATATATATATATATATATATATATATATATATATGAATATGAGGTCTAGTCACATAAAATATGTGTATGTAAGTATATGTATTTGAATATAAAGTCTACTCACATGAAATTTAAGTGTCAGGTTCTGACTTATCACAAACAAAACCAAATCACTATCATTTGATAAGGTTTTAAAATAATGTTTATGTGTTAGCCATAACTAAAATGACAGGTGCGTTCTTCAGTCTTCTATATTGCGCGTTTTATAACAGGTGTATCATATCACGGTGTAACAAAAGACACCTGAAGTTTTACTTGCATAACATTTAATCGAAACCCCATTCAAAGGTTAAAAGTTGTATTCAACAAAGCTCGCACATATTCAAAAACAGTGATCTATGGTCATAATTTGATGACGTCAATAAAATCAATTTTAATATTACATTTTATGGAACATGTTTAGTAAACATGCTTCATGTTGCTCAGATTGAGTTTTGTGCTTAAGAAGTTTCGTGTATGCTGATATCTCACTTCGAGAATGCTGGGCCTTGTGATACTTGAAGATACTTGACCCGATGTTCTTTTCAAGAATATTGGAATATTAAGTCTGATGTCTCATTTCGATGATACTGGACCCGATGTCTTCTCATTTCAAGAATACTGGGCATGATGTCTCATTTAGAGAATGCTGGGCTTGGTGTCTCATTTTTTTTATTTCAGAGCATGATATCTAATTTCCAGGATACTTAGCCTGTTTCCTTTCAACAATACTAGGTGTAATGTCTCATTTCGAGAATACAGGGCTTGGTATCTCATTTCTATAATTCAGAACATGGTATCTCATTTCGAGGACACTTAGCCTGATTTCATGAATACTATGTCCGATGTCTCATCTCGAGTACTCTTGGTCTGATGTCTCAGTTCGAGTAGTCTTGGTCTGGTGTCTCATTTCTTGAAGACAGGGCCTGGTATCTCATTTTGAGAATACAGGTCCTGATGTCTTATTTCGAGAATACGAAACCTCATATCTCATCTCTGCGATACTTGGCCTGGTGTCTCATTTCAAGTATACTGGAGCTCGAGCCAGTTTTGTGCTTAAGAAGTTTAGTGTGTAGTGGGCCTGATGTTTCATTTCGAGAATTTTCAGAGCAAACAGGGCTAACCAGGTTTATTTATGTCCATGTGCCTTAAGACGACACATGACGAAACACAATATAAATACAAGGTATACGAGTGTGACGATACATATACATAATACAGTGAAGTAAAAGTAATACAGTTTCAGTCATCAAAATAAAAAGGTGTTCAATAAAACATTTTGAAACCTAAATAATTGTTTTAACTGTATAACATTTTCTAAATTCATTATTTCTCAAAATTTCAGTGTACAACGTATGATATAAAAGTAGTTTTATTTAAATAACAGTTTCGTTTAGCGTCGAAAAAGTTCCATTATGTGAAAATGGAATTTATCTCCGATATTTTCTTCTCTATATCAAGAACACTTTTTATATCATTCAATAGAATTAACTCCCATCATCTGTTTTGAACAGGAAATCTATAAGTAATTATTACTTATTCGAAATTTTGTAAGACTTTAAGGTAACGCCATACTAGTTTTTAAGTTGGGACCAACTGCAAACAACATTGACTCTGGTCTGCCATTGCCTAATGCGTCGGCAGAACAGGGTTTGCCTTGTTTATTCTAATGAATAAACTTGTCGGAATATATATATATATATATATATATATATATATATATATATATATATATATATATATATATATATATATATATATATATATATATATATATATAAAGCAATTTTTTTCTTCAGACGAAAATGGGTGGGATGGATTTAATATAGCAAAAACATGTATTAAAGTTAATCCAAATGTAGATGATATCAGATAGTCATCTACAATTACATGCTTGGTCACCCATTTCCATTTCCTTTAAATATTTACTATGGCAGCTTATCATTGTGTGATAGGATCGCTGTTGATGAATTAAACAGTTTCTGCACTGTGGTGGAGTTTTCTAGAGAGCTGTTATAAATCGTACTTAGATCAAACATATTTTTGCAATACAGTACAAACTAAAATTTAGAATCTTTTGCTAAGTAAATACTGCCACTGTTCTAAAATTTTATGTCATCTCCATTAAATTAATATTTTTAAAAAGTGATAAAAACTCATTTCAGTTAGTCACATCATCGTGGGATATTTTATAAAAAAAAAAAACGCATTGTTGATAAATTTCCTTAGATTCAGAACGCTGGCAGATATGAGACACATATATAAGCAAATAAATTCAGTTGTAGCAATTCAGTCCTGACATATAAAGCACCCGTGTTTCATAAAATATCAGAGTCTATTTAGTAAATATAACTAGACAAGTGTTACCGGTATACGATAGCTTATCTTGTGGTCTGATGTGTACTTTCATTTTATTTTTATGTGTCACGACTCGTTGGTCTTATACTAAGTAACAGAAACAGCGAACACCAAAGTGAAAATTCAATAAAGAGCATACAGTAAAACGGAGTAAATCCCAGAGAGCCCTAAAATATTTATCAGAATTCCAAATAAATGTATAAAGTTTTTACTGTGTTCCAGTGGTATTCAAAATAAGTTCCAACACTAAATGTGTTGAAGTGCCTGTAGTCTTGAATATACTGATGTGCCAGTGTGGCGATGTGCTAAAAGTCTTTTGATGTGTTATAATATTATAATCTACAAGTGTTCTTGTCTGAATTTACTGTACTTCCAAATTAATGTTTCTGTATAAGAATTATATTGATGAGGACTTTGTACTTCCAGTGAATAATAATCTCAATAAGTAATTTCACCAAAATGAAAAACTGAAGACAACAATATATAAGACTGATTCTTCTTCAAGATGGTAAGGCAATAATTAGTGATTTTTCCAGTAAACAACATTACATAAAAAGCTAAAAAATATTAACCAGGATGAAAGTCTAATGTTAATTTTTAGAACATTAAGTTGTCAACAAGATAAGGTCTATTACTAAAACTATAATAAAAACATGTCAACCATTAGGTATAACAGGCTCTTCCTTGTGAAAATTCCAATGTACTAGACTCAGATTTAGATAAATATATTTACCTCCAAATATAATGATCTGATTATTGTACCCACCCTCTTAGAAAAATACGAACTATGTATTATGTTTTTTTACAAATCAATGCCTATAGTCAGTTACACAGTGAACTTAAGCTTGGACTAGGTCAAGAACAAAATGCAAATGTATATAAAATATAATCATTAAGAAAAGCCAACAAATGATATAAATGAAACATGCAAAACCCATGTGGTAGGGTGGGTAAGGAGACGAAAATCACCTGAAGAATAGGCTTTAATAGAGAGAAATAATATCCCTTTAGCATGGAAAGGAAATTTTGATTGGCAACGTGCCTCGACAGTTTTTATTTTATGAGGATTTAGGTAGGTAAAAGAAATCTTAAGAAATTACGAAAAGCAATATCACCGTACATGCCTTTCTTTAGGTGGGTTAATGTCTGTTAATAGTCAAGGATATATAAGACCATCCTGAGTATTTCTCTCAAAACAAAAGCAACACTGACGTTAAATTTCAAGACGGCTTTTGTCTCGAGGACTTCTAGCGTTGGATGAATTACGTAGCTTCTGGCGGTAACTCGAGGCCTTCCACCGACGTATGAATCACATTGATTCTGATGGTGTATCGATGCCTTCCACCTCGCATGAATTACATAGGGCGTAAAAAAATTACTGAATTAAATTAATTTTAATTACTTACTAAAATCAAGATAATTTATACTGTGAAAGACACATGCAAACTTCAAAAAACGTGAAATCCTTTTCCCTTACATGCTTCCAACTCCTGATTAAAACATTTACTCCACACATACATACTACATACCTACTGGAATAGAGTAAGAGAAAACATCTGTGATGCTGCAGAGAGAAAATGTACAACCAAGACAACAGATTTAGGAGAAAGAAAAAAAACTAATGGTGTCTACTTTGTATTCTCTCGGATGAATGAATGATACCGTTGTTATTAGGCACAACTTGGATGGAATTGTCCAAGTGCTTTTATCAATTAAATAGCCCTTATGTGTCGCCAGTGTTATCACCTCTAAAGGAATTTGATTCTGATGGATAATGCTAAAGAATGTGGTTGTCCCACTCTCAACCAAATTTTTTTGTCACAGTCGAGAACAAACAACTGTCGCCCGTCACTCTTGACTTTTATAGGTGGACTATAGTTTCGTCCATACATAT